TGTGGAGGGGAGGAGGGATTTTATCTAATAGCCAGTTAGAGAGAACTTTAGATTTTTTCTTGGAGATTTTGAATGCGATTTTTGTGTTTGACTAGGCTCTGAGCTGACAAGTTTTCATTCAGCTTTTTAATGATTGATGTTCATTGTACTTTCAGCCTGCATGAACATCTGTAGATGTTTGTAGGTAAACAGAGCATTATCAAATGTTTAACGCTGCTGTTACAGGACTTCTTTGCCAGTGGCTTTTGGGAACAGAGATCTAATCCCTGTTTCCCTCTGCTCGCGGTCTTTTGTGTGTTTGCAGTTAAACTACAAACTGGAAGTGTCTTTTTAGGGATATTAGGAGAAGTATATTGGAGATGTGTAATGGTTGACCTGGTGGACACAAAAGGGTTTCTTCCCTGTAAACCAGTCTGGTCTCAAAAAATTTTGGATCACGTACAGTAAAAAATTTCTGAGAACGCTCCCCCAGAAAATAGTAAGAGATGCATCATGCGTTTGGTTAGTTTTGTTTTTAAATTATAATAAGGTACGTGATTTTAAGGCCACAGAAATTCTGCAGTGTTCCCCTTTTGCATGCATTCTCTCTCTGAGCTGCAGTTTCTTCCCACCAGGTTAGCTGCCCGCTACTCTCATCGCAGGTGGGTAGCAGACTGTCAGCTCTCCGTCATCAGGGAATCTGAGGGTACCGTTTTCATCTATAAAGGAGCACTCCTGGTCTCCAGCACTTCTAGACCTTGCAGGACATGATCTAAAACTCGCTTTGCTGCTTATCTCACAACTTTTTGGCTGATTTTGATGTGGCCTAGAGAGCACTGAAAGAACCATTATGTGTGCTAAAGAAGTTGATTAAAAGCTGGACCAGCGTTTTTTGACAGGGCAAAAGAGCAAGGCAGTGACTTCTTTTGGACATCAAGTTGTTTCTCAGTGTACTACTTGCAACAAAACTTTACAGTGAAAACACATTTTTAGTAGCATGGCTTGTTAAAATGGACATTTTGCTTTAAGTCAGTTGTCACCATCTGCCCCACCCTCTGGTTTTATACACAGAGGCTGATACAAAAGACGCTTTGCCTGAGTGCACTGTGGAGAGCAAGATGTGCTTTTAGTGGATCCTTTTGTAATCTGGAGGCTGTGCCTGGAATGCGTGCGGTCTTCAGAGCCTTTTGCAGATTAGTGCTTGGTGCTTTTAGCTGCATATTCTCTTGACCCAGATACCAGTTTCCTGCATTATGATCATTTTTGCTCCTGACAAGCTCATATCTTGTGAATTTGGGACATTTAGCTTAAAAAAAAAAAAAAGGTACATATATTTTTGGAAAGGAGATAACACAGCTGGAACTTGTATTTTCTGTGGCTTTGAAAAATGCCTGTAAGGTATGAACTAGCCAGTTATTTTAGGGGTCCTCTAAATTATCCCTGGATTTTCATCTCTTCCTGCCTTATATAAGTGCTGTTCTTTTCCTACCTCTTCCCACCCATGCAACCCCAAAAGTTCTGCTCAAAGTTCTTTGGGTTTGTTGGGTTTTTTAGTGGAATTGGCTTTTCTTATCAGTCAGAGAGTTGTTCCTTTGCTAGACACTTCATGATAAACAGACAGGCACTCTAATCAGACTGATTTGTGGACTTGGCATAGCAATTAGGTGGTTCTGTGAATGGGAGAGTCGAGTAATTTTCCTGATTTGATACACAGCTGTCAGTATTGAAGCTGTATGTTTCTGTGTCTTGTAACATGAACATCAGCGAGGTCAAAAAGTCTGACATACTTATCTCTGCCTGGCTGGAGCTGATGTTATCAGCCTGTAACTTTGCTTTGTTCTGGGTGTTGCTAAAGCAGCTGGTGTAAGAGCGCGTGAGAGATCGTTTGTCGTGGTACTTTGTTTTTAGAGAGAGGCTGCTCAAAAGGTGGAGTCTCTTTTGTGTTCTAAAGTCCCTGTAAACTCAGATGAACCAGGGGTGGAGGTCGTCTTATTCCTGCATCTTAGAACTTGCAGTTCTGAACCATTCACCTTTCCACCCAAAGCAAAGGTGATGTCACACACTGAAGGGGAGAGAAACTGAACAGATGGTGTCTCATGGTTTACTGGACGATGCCATCCTTGTTGTCCTAGCTACGGTGGAAAAAGCTGCCTGCAGGACTCTTGGTTTAATATGAGCCAATGTAGTGATGAACTGAGCAGCAGTCATAAACCACAGAGAAGTCCAGAGTCTTTCTGCTTCACTGGCAAATTGGTGGGAATGTCTCACGTTCTGCGGTTTCTGGAGGAACAGTCTCTAATGCGGTGGTGGTAATTCCCGTGGTGGTTTTGGCGTTGAAGCTCCTCTTGAGTAGCTGTTTTCCTGTTGTGTTGGGTCTGGCATGACTGCTTTCAGCAGGTGTACCCTGGCTAGTCCTTGTTATTCCCTCTTGTGTACTGCCTTGGTGGCAGGCACAATTCAGATTCCTGTCTTGGCATCTTTAATTCAGCTTTCGTTCTCTTGTATGGTGAGGGATAGTCTGGCAGACAGCACCAGGTTGATGTGGGCTTATTCTTAACTGCCTGCACAGAATACCTGGAGAAAAAAACCCAAACAAACCACAGTGCTTTCCCAGTGTGTTTTTGTTCATAACACTGGAAGCGAAAGCTTCAGCGTTACGGGAAATACTGTTTTCTCATAGGAGGCTTATACCTCTGTTTTGCAGCAAAGCCTGATGGCTATCTGTCTTAATACATACTCTACTTAGATAAAGGTCTGAAAAGCCACACACATTTTGAGCAGGGAGTGCATACTGCTGGATAGCTGACCATACGCCTTTTACTGTGCTTCCTCTGCCTTTCACGCTGCAAGGTGGGAGAGTGCTAAGCGCCCTAGGAATAGGGAGTGTGAGAGCTTGACTGTCTGAAGAGGGATAAAACATCTTACCAAAAATAAACCCCAGTTGGTCAGCATTTGTCCTGGAGCTTATTTCCCCACCACAGGGCATGCTACACACAATAGCAGGGCCTTGCCAAGTGTTTTTCCTAATCCTTCCCCATTTTCTTTGCAGGTGGCAGGCCTAACCCTGCTGGCAGTGGGCATTTACTCTGCCAAGAATGCCACAGCAGTAGCAGGGCGATACATAGAAGCACGTTTGGGCAAACCTTCCCTGGTGAGAGAAACCTCGCGCATTACTGTGCTGGAGGCACTGAAGCATCCTATCAAGGTAAAATCTAGCTTTGGTTTTGTGTTGCACTCAGCCATGAGGATGCAAAACTCCTTTTGCAGCTCGTGTGTCGGGCAGGGAGTTGTCCGTGGGTCTGTGAATATATGTACCATTAAGAGATAGCACAGGTGGGCTGCGCCGTTTTATATGACCTTTTTGTCCAGGTGATTTGTCAAAACTGTGGTTGATTTCTACATCTGAATTCGTCCTCTCTAGGTTGGTAAGCGTCTTACCAGCAAGGCCCAAGATGCCCTTGAAGGAGTTGTTCTCAGTGTGAGTACTCTATTTTGCTATCTTCATCTGTGAAGAATGACTTTGGAATCTAAATAAGAAAGGCTGTTTCCTTACACTCACTTCAAGAGCTGTAATTCCAGTAATTCTGTGTCCTTGGGGCACTGAGACAGTAAATAAGCTCCTGTGTTCGGTGTGACATGCATTAAGCACTTTGTTAACCTTTTTTCCTCTGTGCAAAGCAGTTGGAAGTCTTAGTTCAGTCCCTGCCCTGCCGCAGTTTGTCTCTGTAGTCAGCACGCTGATATACAGAGTTCCGCTTGTCTCATCTAATCTGAGCAGGATTACCCAACCCAGATCTGCTTGTAGGCCAAGGAGCTGAAGAAGCATATGCATTTGCCCATCTTGTGAACGGTTCTTAACTTGCTAGAGTTGAGAGAACCATTAGAGCTGCTTCTGTGTATTTGCCTCTGAATTTGATTCCTGCATATCAGGCAAACTTAAGTGCTTCTTGAGGCTGCTGAGAGAAAACGCTTCTGCAGGAATAGCTTTCTCCCAGTATCTCTAAAAATGCAGTAATAAATATGAATATGAATGCTTATGACTTATATGAAAGAATTAATACTGCAAAGAGTTGCTTATGTTTTGACAGATCCCTCCCAGGGCATCCGATAGGAAGTGAGTATTCAAATGTTGCCAGTTCTGATAGTAGTTACTGCACCGCTTCCTGCACTGCTGCTTTTTCTTACAAAAGAATTGTAGCCAAGTGGACAGAACTTTAAATTGAGCAAATCCTGGCATAGAAGGGGAAATGACCCTGGTCTGAAAGAATAAGCAGCTGAAGTTAAGGCTTAAAAGCTTGAGACTGTAGGAGTGGTGCCTGCTTCTCGCTGGTACTGTTCTGTGAAGCTAATAGATGCAAGGCTGTTGGTGCTTTCTGTTCCTTAAGTTTAACCCTTTTCTTGCAGCCACAGTTAGAAGCACGTGTGAGAGACATTGCCATAGCAACAAGAAATACAAAAAAGAACAAAAGCCTGTACAGGAATATTCTTATGTACGGTCCCCCTGGCACTGGAAAGACACTCTTTGCCAAGGTAAAACCCTGCCAAGATTCTGACAACCTGCACGTTGCAGGGTGCTCTGAAAACTTCAGGGTCTTAAGCAGCTTCTCTAGTCTGAAATCTATTGCTGTACTATTGCATAAACTTTGTGTTCTAGTGTCTCTGTTGGGAAGGGAGGAAAGGGCATCCAGCCTCTTTCAGCTCTAAATGATTAGTGCAGTCACTTGGATTCTAGTGCTGAGCGTAGGCAGAAGAGCCGTTCCATGCTGGAAAAGGCGCTTGACAGCCATGACTTGTGAAATAGCAATGCCACTGTGCTGTCTCATGTGCACCCCTCTTAATTTTATGCACTTGTCTAAATAGGGGCTTTCCTGCTGTCGCTTACTAATCCCAGAGCAGAGACGAGACAGGTATGGCTTCGTTGTGTATATGCGGTACCAGGATGGTTTTTGCATGGATTTGGGTCAGGATTTGATTTTTTTTTACTCACTCTTCAGTGCTTGTCCCTTAGATCTGGGCTTTCGTATACTTGTTTAACAGTGGCAGATTTGATGTGCTAATGCAAGGTGAGGTTTTTTCCCCATCAATATGTTAAACCCATATCTCAATGGTTTTTTGCTGCCTGCTCTGACAGTATGCCACCTAGCTGGGATTTCTAAAGCCAGTAGAGGCCTACACAGGTCTAGGAAATGGCAGCAGCAGCGTAAGGAGGAGGAGAACTGTAAGAGCTGAGACAAGTGATTGGCAGTGGCTGAAGGAGAAGTTTATTAAGCAGTCCAGATGTTATCTCTTAACCCTTTTCCCAAATAGTGTAGAAACTTGATGGGGACGTTGGTGATAGCTGCAAAAGATTGGAGCGGGTTGGAACGAGGATGGACGTAAGAGTGAGACCTGTGTGCTCTAGAGAGGAGAGAACACTGCACTGGGACGCTGACTATTTTCTGAGCTGTGACTTTTGTACTTGGGTTAATGGCAGTGGCAATACAGTTTGCTGTTACTGCTGTTGCAGAAAGGCAATGTGTCATAGCGTGGTGGTCTTCTCTGACTCCTGCAGGGCAAAGACGTGAGTCAGTCAGTGGTGGTAAGTAGTAATGCTGTATGACAGGATTCTTGAGACAGATGGAAACACACTTGGATGCAACTGGCAAAGCTTCCAGGTTTGGACTGATACAAAACACTGAAGATTAGTAGCAGGAACTGCGTGGTTTTAGTGGCCAGAGCAAAGCTTTCTTTCCAGCCTCCTGCTGCACAGCAGATAATTGGTTGGGTTCAGCTAAGCAAGTTTTGCTGGGGCTGTTGCTGATCTGCCTGGGTTAACTTGTTCATTTTAACCTTTGGATGACTTTCCTTTACTCAGCAGAACTGGATAGCCAGGTCTGGGGCAGCTAATGGCCTGTTAACTCAGCCTGCTGTCTGTCACCATGGCAGGGCTCAGTTGGTGGCTGCTTTGTGAGCTGCTTTTGGAAATGGAGGAGAGGGAGATCTTCCCATGTGATGGCTTCGAACCCCAGCGAAGTCTGTTGTGTCAGGTACAGGCGCTTGCGGACTGATTCGCCACTGAGATGCTGCGGTGAGACGAAGAGCAGGTTTAAGCTGGGAGGTTAATTACGGTGTTCCATAGCTCTTGGTAGACCTGTTTGGGCTGGAGTAGTGGGAGGCTTTGCCCAGGACATAATTCTGCCCTGCAGTGACATGGCAGCCTAAGCAAATTTTGGTCAATGCAAGCCATAGGCTCTTCTGATGTGATTGATCCTTGAGGCTACATCCTCCCAAACTTGCTTTATGAATAGACTTGCGTTTTCTGTCCTAGCAAAAAATAGTAGAGGATTTTTTCCTTTTCTTTTACCTGCAGGCTTAAGGGAGATCTTTCCAGCATGCCCCAGGAGCTTCATCAAAACCCTTTGCTTAGTATCCACCAGGCCATTGAGTTGTGACAGGCTTTAAAACACAAAGGGAAAATTCTGTTATTTTCTCTGACTACTCATTGGGTTCACTGACCATTTAATTCCAGGCTGTTAAATTTTTTTTAAACAAATAAAATTTTATTTGAGTTGTCTTGGTTAAGCTTCTAATAGAGAATAGAATGCTGTTCTGCTGCACAGAGGAGGGAAATTATAGATTGGACCATGAATAAAACAGTGGAAGAAATAAACAAGACATGAGTTAAAGGTCTAAGCACTCTCAGCAGTGCCTTCTAGCATTAAAATTCCGTGCATTGCCAGAAGACTATTCTTTCATTCCCATTCAGAGCAACACTAACAGCTCCTCCTGAGTGACTAAAGAGGTATTCTCTTCTCTAAGAGCATACTTACGCTCTGCAGATAAGCATGCTCACAGTACTAAACTGCTTTGATTTCCCCTGTCCTCTTCCGTGGACTTGAGGTGAGGGAGAGAGCTTAACTCCCTGGTTTTTGTTTCCTTCCAGAAATTAGCCGTGCACTCGGGCATGGATTATGCCATCATGACGGGTGGCGACGTGGCCCCTATGGGGCGGGAGGGAGTTACTGCCATGCACAAACTCTTCGACTGGGCAAACACCAGTAGGAGAGGGTAAGTAGAGGTTCCTCTGAATCCAGAATTTGGGTTCTTGCTCACTGCAACGACGTAGTTTGTACCCCTAATCTCTGTTTGTTATTGAATGATGCTCTTGCGCAAATGAGGTAACGCTGACCAGGTGTAACATCTCCTAAAGTTTTCCTAGAATGGGTGAATTCTTGCTGCTTAGTAACATTTAAAAGGCTGACAGCTTTTGCTCTTCTGCTCCCTCAAACCCTGCTTGTTTACTTCAGATTTCACAGATCAGTCATACCTTGACTCTCCGCTGATCTCACCAGGCAGGTGGAGAGATACTGCCCACTTGAAGGCTGGGACACGTTTCTTTTGGAGTGATTAGTTTTCTGACGGTAGTTAGAAGAGTTAGCACAAATGGAGGTGCAACCAGGTGTTTACAGTCTCTGGATATTGCATACCCTGTTGCGATTGCACAGATTTTAGACTCTGAGAGTGCTTGGATCTGGCTTCTTGTTTACTTTTGGGTCTCAAGCAGAAGTAATGAATTATAAGAAATAAAAGAGGATAAGGGGGAGAGATGCTAAAGGCATTGACATTAGATAGGTGTAAAAGTCGCAAGCTGCTGTGCTTTTTCAGTCACCCTTAAAACCAAAATTTATCTGCAGAAAAGCATTCGTGATAAGGCTAGATCTTGACTCCCTGTTTGTAAGAGTGTGTAGATTAATTGTTTGTACTAGTGTAAATGGATTTGTGCAGTCCAGAGGTAGCTAAGAAGTTACTTGTCCAGCCAGGATATTAAAATTCAATAGGGAACTTGCAGTGGGTGTCAGTTTGGGTTTTTTGTGCTGTTTTGGTTGCAGGTCTTCTGTAAATGTGGCTAACTGGTGATTTATGTGTTCTCAGATTGCTTTAGATGGACATTATCTTGCAGTGTCTGTTTTAATCCTTGCTGCATTCATCTAAATGTTTCTGTTTCCCCTTTAAAAAAACCTAAAACTTGCAGAGTAAATGTCCTAAGGATTTAAACTCTTTAAGCTTCTTCTGCCCCAGGAACTGCAGAATGAGAGGTGTAAAAATTTAAGTGAGCTTAGAAAAAGGTGTTGGAAGAAATATGAGGATACTCAACTAGATGAAGGCTGCTGGATGCTTCCACTAAAGAATCCCTTTTCTCAGCACTGCCTGGGTCTGAATTTTATTCTCTGTCTTCATAAAATCTTCTGTGCGTTTGAACTTCATATACTTCATCTTACAAAAGCTGTGATCAAGGGTTACATGTGTCCATATACATCAATATTCTAACCTCCAGTAACATATTCAAGTATTTAAACAGATTTTATTCTGGATATCCCGCAATGTTAGCTGTTAGTACTGTGTTGCCTTTATTAGCTGAAAGTCGTTGTGACAGGAGACGCCTCTCTACAGAGACTGTAGCTGAGAATATTTTCAGAAAAACTGGAGTTGAGTAAAAGATGTTAATAGGCCCTAATCCCTTGAAAGAAATCTGGTTTTGAAGCTAGGCAAGAAGGTAATACAAGTTGTGACGGTTTTATGAGCAACTTGGTTCTGTTATTGATAAACATCTTTATAGGCTTTGTCTCTTGAGAAGAGCACTACCCTTGGGTTATAAGTGAATTTATTTTTGTGAATTATTCATTGACTTTATTATAAATTCACTTCTCCACAGGTAGTAAAACCATTATATTATTGCTAGTGTGGTTTGGAAAGGAAAAGCCCAACAAAATAACAAAGCAAATTGCAGGCGAGGACTCTGGTTTCAGGTTTTCAGAATGGTTC